ATTCCCCTTAAGGGATTAGGGTTTGGGGTGTAGGGTTTAGGGTCCCTACGAAGAGCCCCCCGTGGTTCTTAGTAGGGAATGAGGGAATTATACCCAGGGACGAGGGTTTAGGGTTTAGGGTCCCTACGAAGAACTAGCCAGGTGTTGCCCAAGACAACGGGCGGCCCGTCTTGATGGGGCTTTTGCAGGTTTAATTAGCTTATTTATTTTGGGTTTATTTCGTAGGGCTATCGGTTTCTTTCTGGGGTTCATGTGGGGTGCTTGCAGGGTGTCTACAGCTTTATAGGGTTTTGGGGTTTATATGGTTCCGTCCCCGCCCCCCCATGGTGTCCCCCCACCCCTCCCCACCTAAACCCAAAGCCCTCACGCAAAGCCTAACCCCTTTATACCCTCTACTGTAAACCCCAAAACCCTAAGCCAAAAACCCAAAAACTCTAAAAGCGTGAAAGTTTGTTGGTGTGGCCTTTTTCCTCGCATTCGTACTCCACACTCCAGACACGGCCTTCTTGGGGCTTGCCAACCGCTAGGCGCTCCGCTGGGTTTAGGGTTTAGGGTTTGGGGTTTGGGGTTTAGGGTTTAGGGTTAGGGTTTAGGGTTTAGGGTTTAGGGTTAGGGTTTAGGGTTTAGGTTTAGGGTTTAGGGTTTAGGGTTTAGGGTGTGGACTCCTGCGATGAAGATTGGACAAAAAGTTCCCGGCGTCGTCTGCCGCTTTGCCATGTAAACCCGAGGGGTGTAAGGGCCGTACTCCCTTTTTTCGAAGGCCTGGCAAAACCCCAAACCCTTAACCCTAAAAACCCCAAAACTCCTAAAGCCCCTAAAACCCCTAAAACCCTAAAACACCCAGACCCCTAAAACCCCTAAAACCCCCAAAACCCCTAAAAAACCCTAAAGCCCCTAAAACCCCTAAAGCCCCAAAATCCCCTAAAACCCCTAAAGCCCCTAAAGCCCCTAAAACTCCTGAAGCCCTAACCCCTAAACCCCAAACCCTAAACCCCTAAACCCCTAAACCCCTAAACCCCTAAACCCCTAAACCCTAATCCCTAAACCCTAAACCCTAAACCCTAAAACCCTAAACCCTAAACCCCAAAAACCTTTTCAAGGTCCGAGTTGCGCGCAACTAGCAGTGGGCAGCCGATGGACGCAAGCAAGGCCCGGGCGCCCCAGCACTTCATAAACCCTAAACCCTAAACCCTACACCCTAAACCCTAAACCCTAAACCCTAAACCCTAAACCCTAAACCCTAAACCCAGGGTTTAGGGGTTTAGGAGTTTAGGGTTTGGGGGTTTAGGGGTTTTGGTTGTTTAGGGTTTAGGGGTTCAGGGGTTTAGGGGTTTAGGAGGTTTAGGGGCTTAGGAGGTTTGGGGGTTTAGGGTTAGGCGTCTAGGGGTTTTGGTTGTTTGCGGATTAGGGTTTAGGGTTTAGGGGGTAGTCGGGGTATTCAGGGTTTAGGGTATTTAGGGTATTTTGGGTTTAAACCGGTTTAGGCTTTAGGCTTTAGGGGTGTTGGTTGTTTGGGGATTAGGGTTTAGGGGTTTAGGGATTAGAAGGCTTAGGGGGTTAAGGGATTCAGACTCGTACCCTTAAGGTTGTACCCCTAAAGGTTCCCCCTAATATACTCCTAATATGGCCCTCATATTCCCTTAAGGATCCTCAAAAAGGGGCCCCAAAACTCAAGGGTACAACCTTAAGGGTCCAAGGTAGAACCCCTAGAAGGGGGTTCAGGATGAAGGTTTAGGGGTTTGGTTGTTTGAGGATTAAGGGTTAGGGCTATTTCAGGGTTGATTGGTTCGGTTTTCGGCTTTTTTTGGATTGGCAGGTCGTTTAGGGGTTTAGGCTCTAGGTTTACGGGTTGAGTTTGGGTCTGTTGGGTTCTTTTGAGGGGGTTTCGGGCTTAGGGTTTAGGGCTTCAGGTCATTGTACTAAGGAATGTCAGGATCACAGCTGGTTATTAGGGGGTAGTTTTCCTATAAGAGCAGCCTGAAGGTGCTTTTAGGGTTTAGGGTTTAGGGTTTAGGGTTTAGGGTTTAGGGTTCAGGGAAGAGTAGCTTGAATTCACAACCCAATTGACATACATGTGGCTTTGGCTTATGATGGGCTGCTCGCGAGCCTTCCAGTGGGGGGAAGCACCCTAACCCCAAACCCTATTTGCAAGAACGCTAAAGAGCCCGAACCCTAAATTCAGAGACCCCTAGATCCTAAACACCCGAAACCCTCAACCCATAAAGCTAGGCCTTAAAACCTAAACCCTGAAAAACTAGACCTGAAACCCGCAGCCCTAAAAGCTAGAGCCTAAACCCGAACCCCTAAACCCCTAAACCCCTAAACCCTAAACCCTAAACCCCAAACCCTAAACCCTCCGTCCGAAACCCTCCGGAGGTCGCAACGTACCTCAAAACCTCCTTCAAGGAGCATCTGCAGGTGCGGAAGGGGGGAGGATGGCCGGTTAAGGGTTTAGGGGCGTTTAGGGTTTAGGGTTTAGGGTTTAGGGTTTAGGGTTCAGGGTCGTTGCCCCAACCTACATCCCAACCCCAATCCGGAGAATGGGTTTCTGCAGGCTACCAGGGCTGCAATGATGCACGCAGCCACGAGCCGTGGCGCGCAGGACCGGGTATCGTGGCCCTAAACCCCCAAACCTCCAAACCCCAAGCCCCAAACCATAAACCCTAAACCCCAAACCCTAAACCCTAAACCCCAAACCCGAAACCCTAAACCCCAAACCCCAAACCCCAAACCCTAAACCCCGAAACCAACCTTACAGTCCTTAGATCATCGGAGGGTACCCTTCGACTTTCTTCCCAGGAGCTTCGATCGGATGCCCTGGCGATCTACGAGACGTTCAGGCCCCTCGGTTTGCAGGATCCAGAGTAAGTAGGTCCCTTAATCCCTTCTTCTAGGGTTTAGGGTTTAGGGTTTAGGGTTGAGGGTTTAGGGTTTAGGGCGTCTCGCCGCGCAGCGGCCGTAAGTACCATGTGTAAATGGCGCCCCTAGACACCCAGGGGGTGTGGGGGGGCGGCATGTCACGCGAAGTGCTGGGTTCTTTCTCCCCACCCGCTGTGAGCTTTCACAGGCCACCACCCAAAGCACTGCCTTTTAGGGTTTAGGGCTGTCGCCCTCAATTCCCACCATTGCTTTCCCGCAAAGGCGTGGTGAAGGTGCGGGGCGGGGGTCAGGTGAGGGAGAACAGGAGGGGCCAGAAGTCCAGGAGGGTAGGCCAGGTACCCCCCCATGGCAGACACCGGATTTCAGCATTTTCGGGTCGGGGTCCAGGGGCCGCCAGAGGGGGGCCCAGGGCTAGCTGGGTTTTAGGGTATTCTCATCAGGAGGAGGATCGGAGGATCCCAATTTAGGCGCCACTCTGGTGGCCTAGTGGCAAGGCGAGCCCGAGGGCTCTCTATTCGACCATTCTCCAATGGCTCCACCCATTGTTTATCCAGTGAAGGTGTCCATCACTGCCGGATATCTTCTGGGTCCAGGCACCCTAGAAAAGGGTGGGTACGGCCGAAGCAGGCCAAATGGAATTTAGGGTTTAGGGTGTAGGGTGTAGGGTTTAGGGTTTAGGGTTTAGGGTTTAGGGTTTAGGGATCTACGCTCCTGAAGGGGTTGCCATCAACTTTTTCTTTCCCTGAAGCGAGCACCTTGGGCGTTTTGCTGGGTAGAGCCCCTGGGGCCCTGGGGTTTAGGCCATAGGGTTTGAAAGGCCTTAGGATTGACTCCTACAACCCAAAGCCCCAAAACCCTCAAACCCTGAGCCCCAAAACCTAAGACCCTAAAACCTGTGGCCCTGAACCCCAACTTCCAACCCCTAAACCCTAAGCCCTAAACCCTAATCCCTAAACCCTAAACCCCAAACCCTAAACCCTAAACCCTAAACCCTCGACCCAAGAGGTGCCAGGGTTCAAGGCTTGGGGAGCTGGAAGCAGACGGCTAGGGCTTTAGGGCTTTAGGGTTTTAGGGCTTTAGGGCTTTAGGGCTTTAGTGTTTTAGGGCTTAGGGCTTTAGGGCTCTAGGGCTTTCGGGATTAGGGCTTTTGGGCTTTAGGGCTTTAGGGCTTTAGGGTTTCGGGTTTATTGAAACTATTCAGGTTGCAGGTCCGGGGAAGTTCCGAGGAGCTTCAAGGAAAGTTTCGAGGACAGTTTCTTGGTTTCACTTTTGAATAATTTCAAGTTACAGGGGCTTGAGGGTTTAGGGTTTAAGGCTGAGGGTTTAGGTTTGTAGTATTAAGGTGCATTTTCAATGACAGCCCTCAACCCTAAACTCCAACTGCAAGTTACCTTGACAGGGATGTACAACAAGAAATGTACTGCCCTAAACCCTAAACCCTAAACCCTAAACGCTAAACCCTAAACCCTAAACCCTAAACCCCAAACCCTCCGCCTTTCGCAGGCCGGAGTGGCTCGGCTGGGGTGTCAAAGGCGAGCTGAGGCTACGCGACGTGCGGGCGGCGTGAACACCCACAGGTCCGAGCCCCAGACCCTGCAACGCTTAGGGTTTAGGGTTTAGGGTTTAGGGTTTAGGGTTTAGGGTTTAGGGTTTAGGGTTTAGGGTTTAGGGTTTAGGGTTTAGGGTTTAGGGTTTAGGGTTTAGGGTTTAGGGTTTAGGGTTTAGGGTTTAGGGTTTAGGGTTTAGGGTTTAGGGTTTAGGGTTTAGGGTTTAGGGTTTAGGGTTTAGGGTTTAGGGCACGAATCGCAGCGCTACGCGTGGTGGCATCTAGCCAGGCCTGTGGAGACCCGAAGCGGAGGCGGAGTGGGAGGAGTAGTGGTTGCAGTTGTAGCAACTAGAATTACGACTACCATTTGACGTGGACAACGACGACGGACGACGGATGACGGACGACCGACGACCGACGACCGACGACGGACGACGGACGACGGACGACGGACGACGGACGACGGACGACCGACGACGACGACGACGACGGCTGACTTTTTTCTGATGAACTGCTTGCTGTTTGGGAGTTGCAGCGGCTCACTTAGTCAGCTGGCTTTTCCTGCTCCTCCGCAATGAAGCTCCACGCACGTACCGAACATCTTGACCATCGGGACCCTATTGGAGTTGGCAAGACGGCGATGGCTGTCACCATGGTGATGATGATCGGCGTGGTCGTGCTGGCTGTTGAGTTCCTGATCTTGACGCGCGTCGTGACGATCAGGGGCGTCTCGAGCTCCTGGGCGTTCCAGCTCTTGGGCGCAGGCGTTTCATTCGTGGCAGCAGTGCAGTACTCGTTTATCATCCCGATGTCCTACGACCTCAGCCGCCATGCCGGTGGGGGCGCTGCCACATCTGGCTTCTTCATCGGCTCGAACGGCCTAGGCCTCTTTGCCGGCATCTGCGCTTCGCGGCTCGCGTGGCGCATGATGTCCCCAAGCCAGATCCACACTGCCATCGTCCTCCCGGTGGTGGCCAATGCCGGGCTCGGTGTGGCGCTCGCTAGCTTGCTTGCCTCTGGCGCCCCAACACAGCTTCAGCTGCTAGGGCTCCGCGTTGCGATGGGCTTGTTCGAGGGTGTGGGCCAGCTGATCCATTTTCTCGTGCGCAAAATGACCCCTGGGCACGAGCAGGTCCGGGCTGCAGTCATGGAGTACTTCGTACGAAGCTTTAGAAGAGCGTGGGCTGTTGTTGGTTCCTTTTTTATGGCTTGAAGGATAGCTAGATACACGGCTTCAGTTTTTTTTGCGGTTATTGGGGAAGAGAGAAGAGAGGTACTCTGCCTACGCCTTGGGCATGGGCATAGGTCCCCTGCTTAGTAGCATGCTCGGGGCTGGGCCCAAAGCACCTTTCCAGCCCAGCGCAGCTGCTCCAGTGTCAGCTGCAGTGGCACTTCTATGCGTCTGCCTGGCTGCAGTCCTGGTGCTGACAGTCCCATCTTCGCCGAAGGAGGGCAGGGAGGAGCTGGCTTTGGCGGAGGACGCGCAGGACGCGCTCAACCCCTCCAACCGTGCTGCGATCGTGTTTCTGTGCTTGATGACGGTGCTTCTCTGCCTGGGAGTGGCCGCCTCGGTTGCTTGGTAGCCCACTGGTAGCCTTTTTTTATTTTTGTTTTTTGGTTCTGGCTCCCTCATAAAGCAACCAACCAAAAAAATGGGTGCCCTTATGATAATATGGCTACTGGGCTACGAAGGTTGAGGTGACCACGGCCCTCCTCCTCGAGGTGGATGGCGGGTGGCAGTACAACACAATTGGCACGGGCATTGGGGCTGTGCTGGCTGCGACCGCAGTGGCCGGGGCTGGCCTGATGCTAGGATGCCCAGTAGTGCAGCTTATTCCCTTTTTTGTTTTTTTTGGGTGGGGGGGGGGGGTTTAGGTTCCCTTATAAACCCCTTTAAGCAAAAAAAGGGGGCACCCTTTCTTATCCTAGGTTACTGGGCAGCCTAGGATGGCTGTGCAGGAAAGGGAGCTCGTGGATGAGGCTGTGGCTACATGGATCATGCTGATCGTGGCTGCAGTTGGGGCACTGCTGCTCTTCGGGAGCCATGGGATGCCGGCGGCCCTGGCGGCAGATTTTTTGATGTATCCCACGCTCGTCTGCGTCGCGAGCGTGGGGGAAGGCACCGCCATGCAGGCAAGCAGCTCAACCTCAGTCTTCTCGCAGCCCAACATCATCGTGATGTGCGCATTTGCTGACGCAGCAGCCAGGGCCTTCTTCACCCCGTTGGGGCGCTACGTCTTCGATGAAGGCGGCAGGGCGGGCTATGCGTGCATGTTGCTGATGATCGTGGCAGTTATTGCGGTGGCTGACGTCCTCGTCAGGCTTTTGCGGGGCATGGCGTCGCCGAACATGGACGGCTACGACAAGCTGCAGCTGAAGTTGGGGGGCCGGCAGGAAAATGGCCCTGACTTCATCAAGGTGCTAGATGTCCCCCTGATCGAGAAGGTGGAAATCCGGGACTCGGAATGCGGCAGGGGCCTCTTTGCCACAAGGCCCATCCGCCAGGGCGAGCTCATCTACCGGGCGAAGTTTCACTTTCTGCCCGACCTTCCTGGGAAGGTCCTGCTGCGTTACCTGGTAGCCCAGTGGTACCCTTTTGCCCTTTTTTCCTTCAAGGTTTGAAGGGGTGCAAGGAGGGACCCCTAGAAGGGAGCCTTCATGTTGTCCCCCTAGATAGCCCCTATATCATATACATATATATATATACATATATATATATATATACATCTATATATATATATATATATATATATATATGTCTATAGGTAGCCCCTAAATAACCCCCAAATAGCCCCTAAGGTCCCTGGTAAGGGTCCCTCCTTTAGTCCCTTGAAAGGCTCCCTTGTAGAGTACTCAACCCAAAAAGGGGTTCTCATATTTTCATTTAGGGTTTAGGGTTTAGGGTTTAGGGTTTAGGGTTTAGGGTTTAGGGTTTAGGGTTTAGGGTTTAGGGTTTAGGGTTTAGGGTTTAGGGTTTAGGGCTGCCAAGGTTATGGCAGCCAGGAGCATGAGCTCAGTGTCTTCGAGCATGCCCCCCTCCATGGCGCAAACCTTCGCGAGCTGGACGAGGTGGACAGCTTCACGAACCACAGCTGTGAGCCCAACATCTTCTATGAAACTCCTTCTAAGGCTTTAGAAGACCTTTTGCTTTTGACGGGTTCCTTTTTTCTGGCTCATACATAGTAAACTCCTTTTAAGGCTTGAAAGGCTGACATATTCTACGAAACTCGTTCTAGGATGCCCAGTAGTACCCTTATTCCCTTTTTTGGGGGGTTTAGGTTCCCTTATAAAACCCCTTTAGGCAAAAAAGGGGGCAACCCTTTTAAGCCTTGGTTACTGGGCAGCCTAGCCTTCTAAGGCTTGACAAGACCTTGCTTTTTGTTGGCTCCTTCTTGACGGGCTCATGCACAGTTTAAATTCAAGCTAATCAGTCTAAACCCTAAACCCTAAACCCTAAACCCTAAACCCTAAACCCTAAACCCTAAACCCTAAACCCTAAACCCTAAACCCTAAACCCTAAACCCTAAAACCCTAAACCCTAAACCCTTCTTGAAGACAGGAAAGCACACGCTTCTTGAACGAGTCCAGCGGGGAGTACGGGGTCTACGCGCTGAAGGACATCAGCCCGGGCAGTGACTCGGACTCGGAGTAGGCCCTTATTTCCTGTCTGTTACGGTTGGGGCTCCCTTATAAATCCCCTGAGAAACCAAAAAACCGTGCCCTGTTGATTCCCAGGTTTACTCCTGGCAACCCTAAACCCTAAACCCTAAACCCTAAACGCGAAACCCGAAACCCGAAACCCGAAACCCGAAACCCTAAACCCTTTTTGTTCCTGAGTCTAGGTGAGCTCACGGCCGACTACGAGCTCTTTGACTTGGAGACACCCAAGGACCTCACGCCATGTAGGTGCCTTCGTAGCTATGTGAGGTGTAGGGTTTAGGGTTTAGGGTTTAGGGTTTAGGGTTTAGGGTTTAGGGTTTAGGGTTTAGGGTTTAGGGTTTAGGGTTTAGGGTTTAGGGTTTAGGGTTTAGGGTTTAGGGTTTAGGGTTTAGGGTACACCTTTTTGTAGCTTTTTGTGAACTCAGCAACTAAGGTGTGGCTCACCCACGTGCCGAGGTGCCGTCCACGGCTCCCAGTTTTGGCCCCTGGAGGTGCTACTAGGGTTTAGGGTTTAGGGTTTAGGGTTTAGGGTTTAGGGTTTAGGGTTTAGGGTTTAGGGTTTAGGGTTTAGGGTTTATACCTTAAAAATCTCTTAAAAAGGCCCATTTCTATGGCCTAGTAGGACCCTGTAATGCCTGAATAGGGGTTTAGGGCCTTTGTAGGGATTTCTATGGCCTAGTTTACGACCCTGTAATCCCTCAATAGGGTTGAGTATGGGGATTCTAAAGCCTAATAAGACCCTGTAATCCTTCAAAAAAAAGGGTTGCTTATGGGGGATTATTCCTAAACCCTAACCCTAAACCCTAAACCCTAAACCCTAAACCCTAAACCCTAAACCCTAAACCCTCAACCCTAAACCGAAACCCTAAACCCTAAACCAAATAGCCCATCCTGGTTGGAGGTGCTGCTCGAAAGGCTCGCGGAGCTAGAGCCCATCCCACGAGCCCACCTACTGCAGCAGCACCCGTCGGTGCAGTCCCTTAGGGGGTACTTGGAAAGAATTTTGTAGTTTTGGGCTACTATAAATCCCTAAGAATTCTTAAGTTTTGGCTATAATCCCTAAGGAACAGCTAAAAAATGTACATTTTTGCTAGGGTGCCACCTTCATAATAAACCCTAAATCCTAAACCCCACGTTCAGTATGAGGTTCCTCGACTTCGGCAGGAGCAGCAAGGTGGTGGCGGCTGCCCCGGACACGTGCGGCTGGGCCATCGCGGCCGCCTGCGACTTCGAGCCCGGCGCGGTGATCTTTGAAGGGCCCAGCTGCATCTTAGGGATACTTTGGGAGTAATTTTTAATAAGCTTTGGGTACGATAATTCCTAAGCTGCATCTTAGGGATACTTGGGAATGTAATCTTTCATCTTTGGGTACGATAATTCCTAAGAAGGGCCCAGCTGCGTCTTAGGGATGCTTGGGGGCAATATTTCTTAAGCTTTGTATTACGATAATTCCGAAGATACTTGGCAGTGATTCTTTAGTCTTTGGGTACTATAACTTAATACGAATCACCAAACAATGATGATTGTTGCTGGGGTTCCAAGTTCAGTGTAGGCATTGTGGATTGCCAGAAGATATGCCACGTGGTGGTCAACTTGCCGCTGCAGCTCGCCCCACAGTGCTGGCTGCTCTTCGCCAAGGAGGACCTGGGGTTTAGGGTTTAGGGTTTAGGGTTTGGGGTTTAGGGTTTAGGGTTTAGGGTTTAGGGTTTCGGGTTTAGGGTTTAGGGTTTAGGGTTTAGGGTTTAGGGTCACCAATGAGGACCTGCTGCGCGCCTCGGCGCCCGTCAGCGGAGGCATGGACAACGGAGACTGCGGCCACCGTGGAGAACGCCGGTTTTTCGGGTTCGAGCTTGCTGCAAACGGGCACCAGGCAGACGCAGAGATCCGGATGATCTCCCCTGGGGAGGGCCCTGGTGCACCAGAAATTTTCCAGGTTTGCTCAAAGGCCCGTATTCGGGCGGGGCAGGCTTTCACTTGCACAGCGCCGTGCTTGCGCTATCCGTAACTGACGCCTGTGGAAATGGCACCAAGACTTTACAGTAAAGTTTAGAGCCGTTGGGTTCGGTGCCTCGCTGCGTCGCACAGACTAGGCGTGCAGACAGCTGTGACACAGAGAGAGATCGCTTGCAAAGTTGCGCCTCTGGGTTCTGGAGTGCTATACTTTGATACCTTTTTTGGGTTCTGGGTTCCTAGTATAGCTACTTCTACCCAAAAAGTATATACTGCTTTTCCAGGGTCTACTCCAAAGTAGGGGACCTGCCCCATTTGCAACAGTGCGACAAAACCTACACAAGACTTAAGTACTTCCATTGCATCAAGGCCGTGCCAGCTGAAGCCTAAACCCTAAACCCTAAACCCTAAACCCTAAACCCTAAACCCCAAACCCTAACGGCCCTAAACCCTGGTTGCCGACATGTTGCCTTGAGGTCGTCCTCGTTCGCATCCTCCTCGCAGTCCGTGCCCTTACGAGCCGCCGCCTCATGCAAGTCTACGCACATGAGTTGCGGAGCCCTCAACCTTCATGCCCTAAGCCCTAGACCCTAAACCCTAAACCCTAAACCCTAAACCGTAAACCCTGAACCCTGAACCCTGAACCCTAAACCCTAAACCCGAAAAACCCGACATTGGTGGTGCCGCCCCGTGCGCCTCGGGGTTCAAGTTGGGGTTTCGTGTTTCCGGACGGCGTGTTTGGGCTGGGAGGTGTCTGGGAAGAGTCTGAAAGATGTTTTAAGGTTGTTAAGTAGGGCAGCTATGGTTGTAACAAGGTTTTAGGGTTTAGGGTTTAGGGTTTAGGGTTTAGGGTTTAAATCTCTAAGGGAGGCTCCTTGTTTTTGGAGCCGTTGGGGGTCGGTACCTTGCTGCATCCTCCGGACAGACAGCAGCTGCGAGAGAGATCGCTTGCAAGAGACGGTAGTGGCACAGGGTTTTCTCAAACAAGTCGGCAACCAGGGTTTAGGGCCATTTAGGGTTTAGGGTTTAGGGCTTAGGGTTTAGGGTTTTCCCCTGTGACGTGCAAGAGCATCTGCCCTGTCAATTGACAGTTGTGTAGGTGAAGTAGCAGCACCGCTCTTGCAAGAAAGTTGCAGCTGCCCCCAGATGTGACAGTGCGACAGTTGAACTGAGAACCCTCTGCGCGAGGCCCGTATAAAGTGTCAAAGCCTACACAAGTTTTGTACACTTATGGGCATGGGGGTTTCCGAAATTAGGGGTACCTTATTGGGGTCCGTATGACAACGGCATCCTACTATTTTTGGTGTTATTTTAGCAATATTAAGGGTCCCTTATGTTCATAAACCCTCATATGGGAGCTTACGAAACTCGGGAGATCCCAATACAGACCCTTAAATAGTAGGATCCCCTTATAAGAAGGACCCCAAAGCGTTCTTCTGACCATGCTTTGAAGGACCCCATAAAGTACCCCGAATATCGTAAACCCCCATGTAGTGCAAGGCTGCGCCAGCTGAAGCCCTAAACCCTAAACCGTTGTCGACATTAAACCGTATACCCTAAACCCTAAACCCTAAACCCTAAATCCCAAACCCCAAACTCTAAGCCGTTCGCAGCCCGGAGTGGCTCGGCTCAGGTGTCAAAGGCGAGCTGAGGCTAAGCGACGTGTGGGCGGGCGTGAACCAGTCCCAGCCCTCAGACCTTGCAACGTTTAGGGTTTAGGGTTTCAGGTTTAGGGTTTAGGGCTTTTAGGGTTTAGGGTTTAGGGTTTAGGGTTTAGGGTTTATTTAGGGTTTAGCAGGCGGTTTAGAGCACGAATCCGAAACCCCAGGACCCCAAACCTGTGTCGGTGCAAAATGTTGCTGGGCGCCGCCGCCGTGAGGGCAGCACAGCCAGCGAAGCTGCTGTGAGCTCTCCTTGCGGCTGAAGCTTGCGATTTCCCTTGCAGATCTTTTCCTAAACCCTAGAGGCATGTAGCCCGAACGGCCTAGGGTTTAGGGTTTAGGGTTTAGTGTTTAGGGTATAGTGTTTAGGGTTTAGGGTTTGGGGTTGAGGGACCCTAAACCCCATTGTAGCCGCGTTCCCGGAACGATACAGTAAAACCTGAAGCACCTTCTTAGTTCCTTCGCTTCGCTTGAGATGCAAGTCTGAATCCTCCTAAACCCTAAACCCTAAACCCTAAACCCTAAACCCTAAACCCTAAACCCTATTCCCACGTTGTCTGCATGGGACGACGGCTCTCAGGATTGAACCTATTGGCTCTTCGTAGGAATGGGGGAATCTGCCACTTTTTGTACATCTATATATATATATATACACATATATATATATATAGATATAGAAATACATGTATATACATATATATATATATATACATATATCTTCCAAATTCCCTTTAAGGGATTAGGGCTTAGGGTTTAAGGTACCTAATTCCCTCATTCCCTACCAAGAACCTGTCGGTTAAGGTTTGGGGCCCTGCCACGTGTACAGAATCGTCTGGGTGTTTGCAACAAGCACTCGGAAGGAGCGGGCCCACCGTGCGTGATGTGCAGCCTTTGAAGCTAAAAATTCCCTCAGAACTTTACAAAGCCCTGCCCTAAACCCTAAACCCTAGTTTTCAGAGGATTCTGGTGTAAGAGGGTTTAGGTTTTGTAAACCCCCCTTTGAGAGCAAAAGCCCTACACCCCTAGCAAGCGCCCCTCAACACCTGGTAAACCCTAAGCCCCTTAAAGCCTGAGCATCTGTAAGCCCTAACCTCCCAACTTTGCACCGGGCGATGATAAGCACAGGAGCCTGAAGAGCCAAGAGAAGATGGAAAGAGAGAGAGAGAGGGAGGGAGAGACGAACCCGAAACAACAATCCCCAAACCCTAAACCCTAAACCCTAAACCCTAAACCCTAAGTCAGCGCACCCGGTAAAGGTCGACCATTTTGGGAAGGCGTAGGTGCAGAGTGACGAGTGCCTTGTGGCCCCTCGCACCATCCGTGTGTTCAGCCCCCATGAAAGCAACACGGGGTTTCGGGTTTTAGTTCTTTGGATTTAATCTAAACCCTAAACCCTAAACCCGAAACCTAAACCCTAAACCCTAAACCCTAAACCCTAAACCCTAAACCCTAAACCCTAAACCCTAAACCCTAAACCCTAAACCCTAAACCCTAAACCCTAAACCCTAAGTTTAGGTTTACTGTAGTATTGCACAGTTTAGGTTTAAGCATTAGGGTTTCGGATGCGCAGGCGCGGCAGAAGAGCAACGACTGCATGGAGGCCGGGATTGTGAGGGCACGTCCCTTCCAGTTGTCGAAGGATCTCGAACGAACCTGGCAGTCGTATAGGGTTTAGGGTTTAGGGTTGTGGGTTTAGGGTTTAGGGTTTTGGGTTTTGGGTTTAGGGTTTAGGGTTTTGGGTTTTGGGTTGAGGGTCCTGGTACAGTCAAAGCCTCAGACATACCCGCATTCCCTTGTCCTCAGAGGTTGGCTACCCTTACAAAAGCACTGTAAATCCGAAACCCTATATTAATATGAAACCGAAACCAAACCCCAACCCCAAAACCCCAAACCACAAACCCCAAACCCTAAACCCCAAACCCCAAACCCTAAACCCTAAACCCTACACCACAAACCCTAAACCCTAACCCCAAACCCCAAACCCCAAACCCTAAACCGTAAACCCTACACTCTAAACCCTCAACCCTAAACCCTAAACCCTAAACCCTACCTGGAGGTACTCGCGGCCACTATTTAGCGTCCTCTCTGTGAAATCCGGATGTGCCCCGAAAGCGGCCGTATTTTGGTTTGGACATTCTTTTTTTTTTTTGGCAGCGAAGGCGGCCTGAATTAAGAAACAAAAGCCGTACGGAACCCGACAAATGTCATCATTATGTGGACGTTTTCCCGTATAAAACCCGTTTTTTGCTCCGAGCAAAAAAAGGCGTACAGCGGCCACTTTTTTGCGTTGCTGCAGAGGAAATGACAAATTAAACCGGCTGTTTTTTTTTTTTCTGTCCTCCGGTATCCCCAGGTAAACCCTAAACCCTACATAAACCCTAAACCCTAAACCCTAAACCCTACATAAACCCTAAACCCTAAACCTTTTTTTTTCCCCTACGCTCCTTTTTCTTTTGGACAACCCCGGGCAGGCCCTGCGCTTGAACCTGGGGTCCGCAGCGCAGCGGCCCAGTGCCTGGCCTGCCGGGTGCGCGGTCGAGGCGCCGGTGGTGGGATTTCGGGTTTAGGGTTTGGGGTTTGGGGTTTGGGTTTTAGGGTTTAGGGTTTCGGGTCTAGGGTTTAGGGTTTCGGGTTTAATTAGGGTTCAGCATCTCAAGTCCAAGCATTTCACTAGCAGAGCTCCTCACTCCGGTATCGAATATCGACCCACTCACCCATGGGATCCCATCACATTCTGAAAATATTTTATTTTTCGTTTTCACTTTAAACCTTTAGGCTCAGTAGACGGCCGCTCAGAGTAGGCCCTAAGGGTTTGGGAAACTTAGGGTTTGGGGGATGTTGAACTTGTCGTTGGTTTATTATTTTTTTGGGGCTTGAATGAGTTGTTTGGGGTTCAGGGTTTAAGATATGGGGGCTTTCACAGATTTCGAGCTTTGGAGCTTGAACGAAGACGAACTCGCTCGTCTCGCAGCAATCATCAAAAACGTGGCAGCGGAGGGCAGATGTACATGTCTCTGGTTTGCCCTGCTCTGAATTGAAGCGCGCAGCACTGGGTCTAAGCAAATACAGCCCGGCTTTGCTAGTGTGCGATGCATTTACGGGGGCGCATAGCAACACGGGCGGGTATCTGGAGCGCAGGAATGCATGGGCGGAGGCCGAGAACGTCACACTGCCGATGGAACAGCCTGAGGGTGGAGCGCCAAGGGTCAACCGGCCGACCAAGTTTTTGGTCACTTCAAACAGGGTGGGGTTGTGCATGTAAGCAGAAACGTTCTCTCACTTGCTTCCAATCTGAGAAGCCGAGTTCACAACTTCAACCCTGAGCCCTAGGCCCCCCAAAACCCTAAACCCTAAACCCTTTAAACTCATGGCTCTCGTCCACAAGGCCTCTTCG